TCCCGCTGTTGCCTAATAACATGTCCATTGCTCTAGAGTTTGATAATGCAAAAAGCAGTATGAGAACAGTGATATTTCACAACTCAATAGGAAAAACTTGATTCTATGTAGTAAGTTCTACTGAAATTTTCTAGTAACACCATTGAAGAAGGTTGTACAGAAAGCAAAATTAAAGAAAAACTAGAACATGGGTGTGAGTGTGTGGCTGTGGCTGTGGGTGTCGGTGTGGGTGTTAATCTTTAATTCTTTAATTCTTTAATATCAATACTCAGTGACATCCACACTCACAACCACTAGGTAACAACGAGAGTGAGGATGCTCCAAAGACCTGGACAGTGGACAACAGCAAAAGTGAGGGTGTTCGGGAGGACTTGCTATCAGGCAACAGCGAGAGTGAGGGTGCTGCAAAGATCTCGCCAGTAGGCAACAGTAAATGTGAGGATGTTCAGAAGGCATCAACAGAGAGCACCAAAAGGGTTTCACCAGTGACAAAATTCCAGAAAAATTTTTGGCAACACATAAGTTGATACGTATTTATATTGAAGCATAAACAAGCTATAAACAAATTTCACATTTCGAGGAAGTTCCGCGAAATTCCATCTAGTTTCTCTTCTACGCAATTCCGGAATTCAGTCGATGATTGCGGACTGATATCCAAGCATAAACGAGCCACAACTAAATTCCGGAATTCCACCGAATTGAAAGAAATTCCCCAAATTCCATGCCGCAAATGGGTGCAGTAAACAGCAGTGACAGATAAATGTATAGCAGTGATATTGCAATTCCGAAACTATACGGAATTGGTAGGAATTCCGTGCAATTCCGTCTAATTCCTTCTAATTCCGCTTGGACCGAAATCCGAAATTCCGTGCCGGAATTCACTCATATGAATATCAGTGACAGATAGAAGTATACGAGTAATATTCTAATTTCGCTTCCAGTCAATTCCGTAATTTCGTGACGGAATTCGGTCATACGCATAGCAGTGACAGATAGAAGTATAGGAGTGATATACTAAATCTGGAATTTGACTGAATTGGTGGCGATTCCCTCTCATTCCGATTCCACCCAATTCCGGAATTCTGTGCCAGAATTGGGTCTTATGAATAGCAGTGATATATAGGAGTATAGTAGTGATATTCTAATTCCGGAATAAGAGGGAATTGGTAGGAATTGATTTCCGGAATGTGCAACATCGCGGAATTGGATGTATTCTCACCGAAGTTTAAGTAAAATTTTCTGAAGAAAATCTTTTTCGTTAAAAGAAATTTGAATGAGTTTTAACTTGTCCAATTTTAATGACCAGTGTTGAATATAGTTAGCAGCTGGAATTAATCGAAAAACAAAATAACAAAAAATGAAGAATAAACAACACTGCACCACGTGAATACTCTTCAACTGACTGTGTACAGAATACAAAAAAAATACAATTTGCAAAAGAATGCTAATGGTAGAGTCAGCAATTTTTTTTTCTTTTCTCATCTCAAGTGTATTTTTTCTCCAAGCTTTACCTTTATCTTTAACTAATGTGTACAATCTGTCCATGAGACAAGCCAATTAGTAATAGTCAAAAATGTCCTTTAAGAAGGTTTTCTGACAAGATGTCTCTGGATTTTTTTCTCCAAGAATTAATATTCTCAAATTTTGTATCATCTGGAAAATGTCCCTGATAAACTGCGAATAAAATTACTTAAACATTCGATATTCTGTTATGAAAAAAGAGCACATCGGTTTTTTTAAATTCATTAATGTAGCATGATGAGAAGTCATAGTACAAGAACTCGTAAACTTTTGATTTTTTTAAATAGATTTTTGTGTACTATCGAAAAGATTAAAAAAATTAGGTAAAGATGCTAAATAAATCAATCAATCAAAGTGATAAGAATTTTTATTGTTGAGTCGATATAATCTGAAATGTTATTATTTCACGAATATAAGTTTTAATCTACCAATATATATTTTTCACAGAGTTTCTATTATATTTATAGAATTTTAGTTTCGAAGTTTATCATATTTAGGTATCTTTAAACGAGTAAGTCAAGTAATTAAGGAAAATGAAGGAATTTTCATTCGAATGTGAAGAAAGCTATGCTAAGAGACACATTTCTCCAACGTAATAGGATCAATAGGGTTTACATAAGTCTACGGGTGTCTTTTTTTATAATACTCCCTGTTCTCTCTCGAGTACCGAATAATTCATTTTCTAACATCCGCATTCTCTTCTCTTGTCCTTTTTCTCGTATTTCTCTTTTGCATTTATCTCCCTCTATATATATATAAATGTCTTTGAGCTTAAAACAGAGCCGTCAGTATTAGTTCTTCAATACTTACAGTGTAGTGCAAACAGTAACAACTAGCTGTTAAGCGAGCAAGTTGACGAACTAGTAATGAGGTTATGTCAGGTCAAGTACAAATATGCTACAATGATGTTTATAAGTACAAGTTTGTTATATCCTTGTTGCTTTGTCTAGATTATGCATTATCCATCCATATCTTATCTCTCAAAATAAATTAACTCGGTTTAGTGTTACATTTGTTGCGCATTCCTTTATTCAAAATATATTTACGTATACGACTGGCTTAATTATATTTTTCATTATAAAAACCACTTATCTTCAATATTTATGATTCGAGTATATTATAAATGGTAAACAGACTTGTATAATTATATGGTCTATGTAAAAGAAGTCGAAGAAAAGTAATTATGATAAGTGGCGTAATCAGGATTTTGAGACCAATGAATAAACCTCTCTTGCCTCGAAAAAAATTAATGGACACATTAGACATGATTGTTATTGATAGGCTAAAGAAAAAAAAAGTAACATGTGTTGTTTTATCAGATATGCATCAAACTCCTATCTTTGATCTGATTCAAGCATGTTTTAGTCAATTTTTAATGTTTTTTCTGTTCGAAGAAAAAATATTGTTTAAGTTGTTTTTCATTAGGCACAGCATAGTATTAGTATGTTTGGAATTAGAATAATAAAAACATCATTATACTGTTTTAATATTCGACTATAAATTCAAATAAATTAATTTTGTCAAAAAAATACTTTAAAAATTTTCTATCAAAATGAATTTAAAGTAAATATTTTCAGTTATCTAACATAATAAAAATGCTAAGCATTCTTTATCTTTCGTATACTATGTATTTACCTTTTTTTGTTTTTACTCTATATTTATATACTTGTTTTTTAGTATATCATAACAATATACTTATTTGTTTTGTGTTTTGATGGCTTTTGCACCTGTCTCTCCATTGATTGTTGATGATCTACCAAAATTCCTTTCTATGATGTATCATCAATTCATTAATCAAGTTATTTATACATTTGCTAATTTTAGTATAGCTGATTGATTAGTTATTGCAGCATTAGATCGTGGTTTTACTGTCAAAGAAATTATGAATGATGAACGATCAGAATGGAATCAAGATTTACTCTATCGAATATGACGTGCATGTATTTATGGTGGTATTGTTGAATCTATTAATGATGAAGAACATTTTATTCTTACTACATCTGGTATGATGATGACTTTAAATCATCCATCATCTGTACGAGATTTTATTCGTGTGAACTTTGGACCAATTTGTACTAGTGCTGGCATACAATTATCAAATATGATACGTGGAAAGGGTACAGGTGCTGGAGTAAGTAGCTGGTCTTTCAGGTAGTATGAATTTTTATACGCTAATATGACAACCAGATTAAGAAGAATTATTGAAAATGTTTAGTGGTGCTATGACAATATATCCAATATAAAGCGGTTGTCAATTTGTCACAGCTGTTGATTTTGATAGATTTAAAATCATAGTTGATATTGGTGGTAATAATGGAATATTTTTAGTTCAAATTCTTGAAAAATATCCATCGATTCAACATGGAATTGTTTTTGATTTACTACATTTTGTTAATCAATTTAAAAATGATGAAGAATTTATCTTACGCGACCTATGCAAAGACCAATGAAATTTTGTTTTCTAGTAATATTTATGATTCATCAACTGTTCCATTAGCAGATGATTATGTATTACAACATTTTTTTACATTATTTTGGTGATAAGAAATGTTTAGAAATTTTATCATCGATCTCTAAAGCTAATGGAAATGAAAAAGATGCAGTAGTAACGATATTTATTATTGAACATGTCATTTTTGCCAAATCATGCTTTAAGTAATTGGCAATCGCATGCATTTGATTTAGTAATGGCTATGTCATTAGACAATGCTCGTGAACGAACACACAATGAACATGAGCAATTACTAAATAAATCTCGATTTAAACTGATACAAATATATCCAATTCAATCACCAGATTCTATCATTGAAGCTGTTATTGTTCACTAATTGAAAAATCTTAAATCAAGTCTTTGAATAAAAAGAAGATACCAACGAATAACTTTCAAAACATATAAATCTTCTTTGCAGATTTCATCTTTTTTTTTGAAATCGAAATATATTCATTGAATAAAATTTTCTTCGTTTATAAGTTGATTTTTCAGATTTTATTCATTAAGGAATTCATCCCTCAGGAAATTGAATTTTTACAAATAATATGGATACAAGAAATTTTCGTGGTTTCAGTTTTGGAAAAACTGCGTTGCTACTTGAATTATCATTGAATAGAACATTATGATAGTCAGATGGCGTTAGTTGGGTGTGGGTGTACGTCTTCTCTTTATCTACATCTATAACAACATCCATACTCATTCCAAAAACTCTTACAAATATTCTTCGACTGATTTCAAACATTGCACAGACTCATTTTATTTTTTTCATATTGTTTTACAGAACTTATTGTCTTCATAAACGTTCGATGTTATAAAAAGACAGTCTAATCTTTCAAAATGTTCGTGTCAGTTGTACTTCTGAAAAAGTTATCTCAAAATTTGACAGCCTTGTTTCACACAGATTTCTTGTAAGCTAAGAATACTTTGATATAACATCATATATTTCAAAACAGTACCAATTTATGGTGATTGGTTTATTTATAGTTAATTTTGAGTTTTTCACTAATTTCGCTCATCTTTTCCTATGCTTGTTTTGCTAACCCTTTTCGCAGATATACAGCAAATAATAAATGAAAAATGGACTGAAAGCAGATTCACATTTATCTTTAAAAAATTCAATTACAAGAGAATAAATATATTTAAATTAAAAGTAATGAAAGTTGTGATATATTGGTTCATCGATAAATTTCATATTAGTTGTAAAATCCATTAGACAATCTGCATACAGAAAATAAGAAATGTTTTATTTCTCATACTTACATAATTGTTATATTACTCAATATGGAGAGAATTTTGTACATTTTTAACATCTATTCTCATTTTCATTCATAAACTTTTTTGAAACATAAGATTCTTTAGAGAATTGCATCTTTCAGGTACAAGAATGGGTATATATGCAAAAAAAAAACAAAATAAAATTTAGGATTTGTGAATGTATTACTTTGATGAAAGTCCTAATTTTTATCTCCGTAGACAAACTACGTATGATTATGAATGTCAATTATCATAAATGAATACACACCATGAAAAAAGTACTTCTACTTACACGTATACCCAAATTGTTTAATATAACTTGATTCAAAAAATAATGCAACTACTCTAACATCAATATTCTAGATTTATGTTTATGATAAATAGTTTATCTAGGAATCAACACTAACTAAATAGTATTGTATAGATATCAGATGTCTTTATGTTTCTAATTTCATCATTGATGGGATGGATTTTTTTCTTGATTTAAAAGAGAAAATCTATGAAAGGAGTGATCAACAACAATGTCTTTAAAAATTTATTTGGCGAAAACATATTGAACCATTCAAAAGTTCATTAAGACCCTAAACAAATCTTCAAAGTCTTATTCTATTATCGAGAACTCTTTTTGTTTAATACCATCTTAAAGTTTATATAATCCCAGTTCTTCTTTTTAACAAATAGGTGACCTCAAAATTTTTAAAAATCTAATATTCTATAGTATTCAGCTTGCTTTTTAATCATACAAAGATGTTGCTTGGACTTCAATGTTTCAGCATCTTATCTAGCAATTCTAATGTAACACTGGTAAAAAATTAAATTCATAAATGATAAAAATATTAATATACTTCGATATGTTTCGGTGAAATTTTAACTGTTATTTAAACTTTCTACATCAACATAATTGAATAGTATTAATAATTACTCCGCGGCGACATGAGAAAATTAATGTCAATCAATAATTATATAGATATGTATAATTATGCGAAAAGCATCTATTTAGAGCATGGATGTGATATTCATGAGCAACGAAGAAAGACATACAAATTAAACTAAATAATAATCATATTTTTCTTAGTTGAAAAATAATTTTTCATGTAAATTATCTTCGATAAATAGCCAAGCAACATACACAAATGAAAGATTTCACAAAAACCTTTTGTCAACCATTCATGGATCACAGCTTAGCAATGCTAGACATCGATTTATCTTAATGACACGAGAATATAGAACTATCTTTTCATAGAAATTATATACATTGATTCACATAGAAACATTAACAGTATGCAATCAACTACTCGAGAATCTATTTGAAAAATAACACAATATCTTTACAATTAGAGAAGCATGAAAAAAAGAAAAGAAATATTTTTTGAGAATGGGTGTGGGTTTCATGAACAGTTAGATTCACATCCACACCCAAATCCCTCAATACAGCCTTAGAAGGAAATGATAAATTTCATCCAAATTACAAAACTCTGATCAGAGTTCACATTTTCTGTAAGTCTTAGATAAAAGCAAAAAGATAAATTTTATCCTAATTATAAATGTATATTTTGAATGACACAATGACATAATGGAAAAATATCGAAAAAGATAATATCTCAAATAAATTGTCATTCTAAACACATCTAGTTGATTGCTAGTTTACTTAGAATTCTTATAGTATAGAAGTTTAATCAGACGTGATTTTAACGAATAATATCTGATAAAAATTAATTAAAAGAGTTAAGCAAATAATTATGATATACTAGCTATTTCATTCATAAATTCAAACAAAGAAAGATCTTCACTCATAGCAGATGAATAAATGTTTTCAAAATGAATAAAATGACAACTCATAGTTGCCGGGCAGAAAAAGAAAGTCATAAATCAGTCTTTTTCCTTCTTTTTTTGGATATACTTTATTTTCTTACATCTGAAGACGCTTACAACAATGTTTTTTTTTATTATCTGCATTCATTTATTCATATCAACATTAATTCATAGTATATAACATGTTCTTCACTATTCACAATTCTTCAAAATATACATTAACCATTTTCCCTGTCGATAGTATTTTTTTTTGATATTTTTCTTCTATATTTTTTTGTATTGTATGTTGATTGAAAATGGCACCTGTATTTATAATTGATTGAAATATAATTTGAGATGCAAATTCCTCTTATTAATTAATAGATTTGTTTCAATGCAAGCACTTTACCCACCTTTATTATTTTAGAGTGCTTAAATTTTCGAGATATTTTCTTTTTACTTTACAGACTTAAACTTAATTTGACTATTTTTTAATATTTCATAACTTTTTATAGTGATTATCTGTGGAATACTCATCAAAGGCTTCTACATCTGATTTATTAAATTAAGTAATTATTAGCTGATGATTTTGACATTATTTTTATCTGAAGAAACTGATCCTGATATTCTGCAGAAATCATATGGACCCCATTGTTACTAGCAAGGCAAGAAGAAAAGCTTCACTAGAAGAGACTCTTGTATTCTTGAATAATTCTTTTTTCTTCAGTTTCTTTTAATTAGTTTTAGTTTATTGGATGAAAAGCAGAGTCCTCTTTCTCTTTTAAAGAAAAATAACTTACACTTGCATGCATATACAACAGTTGTTATAGGATCATCTTCCTCTTTTTTCTTTTATTTCCATAGAGACATTAAAAGAAGTGCATCTGTTAATTAGTCATATAGTAAAAGTAGTGTGAATGTTTTTATTTTTATTTTGTGTTAGTAATGAATAGAAGTTTCTCTTAACAATATTTATTTTTATATCGACAATAAAATAATTTTCTGTAATCACGGTGTGGGTGTGAGTGTGTGTGTTATTTGTGCTCTTAAGACACCGACACACAGAAAAGTGAAAATTAACTACACTAAAAGGTAGCATAATGAAACGTTAAATTTAGCTAAATAAAATGAATAACTCAATACATAAAAGTAATAGTGAATGAATGACGTGTAATATTAATAATAAAATGAAATTGTTTTTAGAATACTGAATTCGAATCCAAATATTAATTTATTAAATTAATAATTGATAATTGTATGTATTCGCGGGAGATGCACTGTATGTATTTCCTTGTACTGTGTAAAGAAGACTGCCAGTGGTTATATTCCATACTTTTATTGTTTTATCACTAGAACCACTCACTAAATTACCATTTCTTAGTAATAAAAGTTCGAAAATATAACCAGTATGTCCTGTTAGCGTACGTATTACAGAGCCATTATTTGGATTCCATATCTTTATTGTGTTATCATGAGCGCCACTAGCCAAATAACCATTGTTTAATAGTTTCAAACACATTACAAAACCCGTATGTTCTGTTAATGTTTGAACAAGTGACCCATTATTTGGATTCCATATTAATATTCTTTTATCACCATTAAAATAACCGGAATAGGCATCTCCATAACTAGATGCGCTTGCTAGATATCCATTACTTAATAATTCAAAGCAATTTACAGGACCTGTATGACCAACTAAATTAAAAACAAGATCGCCAGTAGTTGTATTAAATATTTTTATTGTATAATCCCAATCAGCATTGGCTATGTTGCCATTAGTTAATTGTATCAAAGCGAGAGAAGTAACACTCACTGATGATTTAGTTATTAATGAACCAGTCATTGGATTTAATATCTGAATCTGGGCAAACCAAGTGCCACTTGCTATGTAACCATTACTTAATACTATCAGTGGTACAATATGATAAGTATTGCTTATATTGAAGTTGATTACAAGTTTTCCATCAGATGAATTCCAAACGTTGAACATATTATTTCCACATTGACCAACTATATAATCGTTTGGAAGTAATGCAAATTTTACACCGGTATTATTGCTTGAGCAATTTAACGTGCGAATAAAAGAGCCATCACTCATATTCCATATTTTGAATACACCATCACTACTACCACTTAACACGCTGTTATTATTTAATTTGCGCAACTGTTCAATTAGGATTTTATGACCAGTTAGATTAAAAATCAGTGAACCATTTTTTGGATTCTATACTTTTATAGAATTATCTGTAGCAGCACTTGCAAAATAATCAATAAATAGTGAAGGAGGTACTAGAGAATAGAAAAAATCACTTTTACTATGGTTCAGAAAACATAAAACAAGAGTAGTAAATTGAACATTTTGTAGAACAAAGTTCACTCTACAAAGTAGTCTATAAAAAAGATTTTTCTATTGTTTGAATCGGAATAGTTTTAATTAAAATAAAAAAATAGGCAATATGAAAATGTTCTGTACAGACATCTCTTTTGAATCCATTCGAGTATTTATTCCTAGTTAATCCGACTTAAGTCAGCAAAAAATTATGAACATAAAATTTTTAAAAAGTTCAATCTCTGATTCTAAATGAATATTTTTTATTCTCTATAATAACGTCTAAATGATAGAAACTAAGAAATTTCGAGGATATGAAATTTGGATCTTGGCCTACCGAGACTCACCCTCACCCCTCAATTCTATAAAATTCAAGGTCATAGAGGAGACTTATTAGGCTCAAGTAAATAAAATCTGTTCTGTAGTCATTGTGAACCTCTTCTAGGCTATCTATATGTCCAAATATTTTGTACTTTTCAAACAGAATCTTTGAAGACGACGCCATCTAGTTCTTAAATGAAATATTTAATGGTTTACCAAAATAAAAACATTTTCAATTCTTGTGATATGGATTTCGTTCAATGAAATATATTTGAATAAACTAATAGCGAGCAATACGAGTTCATTGATCATTTTTTTTTAATTTATTTCAAAAAACTTGTGAATATTTCGGACTGATCATCAGTCCATTATCAACACAAGTGACAAGTGGAAAATACAGAAATTATTATATATGACTTATATAACTATTCTTTCAATTTCATTTCGTTTTTCGTCTAATTAACATTGCAATGCAAGGGGGAGAAACGTTTGCTTGTGCATTGCATAGTTAATTAGACGAAAAATAAAATGAAATTGAAAGAATAGTTATATAAGTCATATATAATAATTTCTGCATTTTCCACTTGTCACTTGTGTTGATAATGGACTGATGATCAGTCCGAAATATTCACAAGTTTTTTTAAATAAATTAAAAAAAAATGATCAATGAACTCATATTTCTCGCTATTAATTCTTGTGATACAAAATCTTTTGACTCAATGTTATATCAAAAACGTTCTATAGAATACTAAGCATTTTTTTATATTCAACATAGATATGTGAAAATTCAAAGCTCAATGATTTGGGGAGAAATGAGTAAAAAAAACTGATTACTATGTCTTTTTCATATTAGCTGAGTTATTGAACACGTCATTTTATTCTAGCATTACATTTCTGACAGCTCCATTGTAGTGCACATCTACAGTTGAGCTATGTAGTCTACCATCGAGCTGTTGCAAACCTAATGAGCAGAATAAAATTAAGTGTTCATTAACATCAGCTGAAGTAGTTGAAATCGAACTGCTATACGTCTAACTGAATGTAACTTTTAGGAGATCATTCCTCAAAAAAAAATCAATTATTAATAAAACAAAACGATATATTATCTGCAGTCGATGTTGTAGTAGTACTTGTTGAAGCTAGATATAAATCTTGTAATTGCAAGAAACTGAACTAACGATGGAACACTCCTATGTGATTCGCTTCGTTTATCTCCGTATTTTTCTCATATGTACAGAATTACTAGATTAACCTAACTTCCAAAGGATTTCCACTATTGTTTAGATTTGGTCAACATAGCGACTTTTCACTGAATCTCTCCTACAGGAGTCTAGTTTTCCGAAAAAAAACTACTATTTTGAATTTTGATCTGAAACTTTGTCACCCCCCCCCCCCTCATAAAAGAAGCCCCCTCTGAGATGAACAGCGTGTTTGACGTATTAGAAGTCCCCCTCATTTTTCGAAAAAATTCTAAAATTTTCAAGATTTTTTTCGCATTTTCATGCTAAAACTGTTAAAATTTTTTCATTTTCAGGTGAAAAATTCGCTGACTCTTATCTAGCTTTGCTAACATCTGGAAATAATGTCAAAAGTCTTCTGGAAAACTCATAAAAACTTTTAAAATCTCTAAAAATCCTTACGAGCACTTTTTCCCAGCAGTTTACGAAATTTTTTTGAGACTTAACAGAAGCCCCCCTTCCGAAGCTTCATATGGTAGACACACTAAAAGCCCCTGGGGCTTCTAATATGGGTGGGGGGGGGGGGGGGGGGGGGGGGGGGTACACCACACGCGCTTGTTGACACGGTTTATCAAATAGTAAGTTTGCGG